TCCTCTTCTCTTTTTCACATTTATTTCACAACTCGATTCATAACTTGAGCCAATGCTCTACAAGGTTTAATTGTCAATTACTCTTTCACAATTCACTTCACAACTTGAGCCAACGCTCCTCAATGTTCAAATATTACCATTTCTTCCACAAACTTTGCCCAACAATAGAAATCATCACAAAAGGGCATAAACAATACAAACGGAGTCATAATAATCATAATATAAGACTCACGGGAATGCTTGACACTAACGTATAGATACTCGTCACCATGCCTATACGTCGTACTCAACAAATAACACATAGCAAATAGGACACGACTCCTAATCCCTCAAGCTAAGGTTAGACCAAACACTTACCTCGATGCCTCGAACACAATTCAAGCCTCAACTATCGCTTTACCTCTTGATTCTACCACCAATTCGCTCGTATCTAGCCACACGTTACTTAATTATATCAATAAATGCTAAATGAATCAATTCTAATGCATGGAAAAAAAATTCTAAATTTTTTCCCAAAAGTCAAAAATCGACCCCGGGCCCACATGGTTAAAACCCGAGGTTCGGACCAAAACCCGATTACCATTCACCCACGAACTCAAATATACAATTTATTTTGAAATCGGACCTCAAATCGAGGTCCAAATCCCCAAATTTTGAAAAACCTAGGTTCTACCCAAAACACCCAATTTCCCCTATGAAAACCTTTGATTTTGAGTTGAAATCATGTGAAAAGATGTTAAAGATTGAAGAAAATGAGTTAGAAATAACTTACAATCGATTTGGAGAAGAAATTGCCTTTGAAAAATCGCCCAAGAGTGTTTTGGTTTTGAAAGGGTGTGAAAAAATGGTTGAAATGCATCTAAGTTATAAATTTACAGGTCTCTGAGACTTTTGCATTTGCGAATAAAATGTCGCATTTGCGACCAAGTCAGATTTCCGGTCTTCTTCGCATTTGCGATAGACCTTTCGCAAATGCGAGATCGCATTTGCGATAGAAGAGTCGCATTTGCGACTAAGGCTACAACTGGAGGCATCGCATTTGCGATGGCTACCTCGCATTTGCGAGGTAATGCTGGCCTGGGCTCTTTCGCATTTGCGACATAGCCTTCGCATTTGCGAGCCAGGCTTCGCAAATGCGAAGCCTACAGGCCTGCAATATACCAGTTAAAATCTGCAACATCCTAAGTCCAAATTTCACTCCGTGGCCTATCCAAAACTCAGCCGAGCCCTCGGGGCTCCAAACCAAATATGCACACTAACCCAAAAACATCATACGGACTTACTCGTGCATTGAAATAACCAAAATAACATCAACAATTATGAATTTAGCATCAAAATCATGAAATCACTTAAGAACATCAAATTTTCTAATTTTTCTCAAATAAGGTCCGATTCACGTCATTTCAAGTCCGTTTCTTACCAAATTTTACATACTTAACTTAAATCACATATAAGACCTGTATCGGGCTCCGAAACCAAAATACGGGCCCGATACCATCAAATTTCAAACACATCTCATTTCTCAAAACTCATATATTTTCCAGAAAATAATTTTCTTTAAAAATTCATTTCTCGGGCTTGGGACCTCGGAATTTGATTCCGGGCATACGCCCAAGTCCCATATTTTCCTACGAATCCTCCGGGACCATCAAATTACGGGTCCGGATCCGGGTCCGGGTCCGAGTCTGTTTGCCCAAAATGTTGACTAAAGTCAACCATAATCAAATTTTAACTCTAGAAATTTCTATTTCTCATATTTTCACATAGAAGGCTTTTCGGATATAGGTCCGGACCACACACAAAAATTGAGGTGAGGTAAAAAGGAGGTTTTTAGGCATCGGGACACTGAATTGGTTTCTAAAACAAGTGATGAATTTTTGGGTCATCACAAAAGAACCACATCATCTTTTATTGGATGCTCTCATTCGTTTCCGACACGAAGCAAGAAGACACTGAATACTGGATCAGTTCTTATTTTATATTTCTTGTCAGTTGAATCTTTTTCATTTGAGGTCAAAAGTATAACTTTGGCAAGCTAGTTTTTACGGTCTCTACTTTTGTCGATTTTGGAACTACTGGCAGTACTTGATATAAATTACCTCCTAAATCATTAATTTTTCACCAAATGGTTCATTAATATCGAATATATCTCTAGAACTCTGTTTGACAATTAACCATAAGTGCTTCATCTAATATTATCGATTTTGCTTTCCTTATAAATTTAGCATCATTGCTCTGCTTTGATATATTTGTGATGGTTATTTAAGTTGTTTGAAGAAGTATATCAAATCTAAAGTGGGTGGCCTCACAATAAAATCGTTGTTCGTACACCACTTGCTATTATTGCTGACAGTGTCATGCTTCTTGATATGATATTTGCAAGTAATGCATGACATAAAAATATTATTTCTATTCCGCCGGAGGCATCTACAAAGTAATCCTGTTATAGTAGAGTCGACTCTTTATAATATAGTCTTGAAAGCTTGTTCTTGTTTTGAATTTAGCTTTGATTGTGCTTCTTCAGATACTTGTGTAACATTTTGATTCTTAATAATATATCAAGCTTTTTTTTTTTTGTGTTCTAACGCTCTTTTTATGGAATAAATTTATGCATCCTAAGAATTTTTTTGAATTGGATTCTCTTGCTAAATAATTAATTAAAAGATTTAGTTATTTGATTTTAACATAAAAATAATTTATTCTATATTGATACAGATCTTAATATTAGTTCATCTCTTGTTTTGAATATTTAATCTTGGTTATAATTTTATCCATCATAAATTTTCTTTTCAAAGAGTAAAAGATTGATATGACATTTCACTTTTAGATCCTTATGTCTCTAGAATCATTAGTGGTATTGACTCTTACCAACCATTTTTTTTCTCTTTCTCACACATTTATATTCTTAAATATTTTCTTAGTTGTTTTTAATAATTAGGCATTTTTTAATATTATACGAAAAATTAATAAAAAAATATTATTTGAGTAGGAAAATAGTTCAGTCATAATATAAAAATATTTTATCGTGGGGTATCCCCCCCCCCCCCC